CCATGTTTGGTTGCACCCTTGCAAAGTCCAAACGGCCAATTCTGTGGCGTTGAACAAGACGTGGCCTTTGAAGACGTTTTTGTTTCTGAAGCCCTTCTCTCGCAGATGCCGTCTGATGGTTATCGGGCTGCAGTCGGCACCAGTAATGGCTTTAATTTGGGTAGAGGATCGTCCCTTGTCTTGACGGACAGCCAATCGGATCCTGCGGCTCAGAGCTGGTGAAATTTTTTGGGTCTACCGCTTGACTTTTTTGTTCCATAACCCTCAGGATCATTTAAAAAATGCAAAATGACTGTCTTACTGCGTCCAACCTCAGCAGCAATGGCACGTTGTGAGAGGCCTTGCTTACGCAGCTCAACAATCCTGCCACGTTCAAAGTCAGTGAACTTTTTTGCTTTTGCCATCTGGAGGTCTTGACAGTGTAAAGACTTCACAGAAAATGACATGGAATCCAGATTTTTGCACAGCTTTTGGCTTTTAAAGACTATGGTCTTAAACTTTTGATCAGCTGAAAAAAATCATGTTTGAGTGTAAATGCAGTTTTCAGAAAATTCCCCGCTCAAATGTTCTTGTCTCTTGCACTGATTGTTTTCTTTTAACATTGTGAAGCTCTACTTAGAACCTTCTTAAGATTCATTAGTGCAAAATGCTAATTCTTGCAATTTTTTGACTGGTCTTAAGATTTTGATCAGGAGTGTATGTAAAAGTATATAATCCAGGTTCTTTCATTTAAAAGAAAAAGGGAATAATTATTCCTTCTGATGCTGAGATATTCCAACATAATGATTACTTTTAGTTTTATCTGCACTTCTACATCCAACTACTGTGAGGAACATTATTTCTTTTAGATGTTCTGCTCTTTATTGAGCAACATGTTTCCATTACAAATATGCTAAACAGTTTTGTACATGATTGAGTTTTGCAGCAACTTTTCATAAGCTTGAGCAAAAGCAAAAGTTTAATGAGCTTCAATTTGTGGAAAATGTTGTCTAGAGTTTCAAGAATTATTTTTCTGACAACAGAAACAAGAATCCACATTACAATGGTTTTATACCCACCAGTTACAGAAGAACTGCATGTCCAATACATTTTCCACCCATATATCAGTGGACAGTTTGTTTCAACTGTAAACTCTGCGACTGCTAACACTGCAATTTCTAAAATGCAAATCAGCAGCAGGGAACAGGAGACGACTCCAGGATGGAGTTATTACTACCACATTTTCTGGACTACAGAGCGCACCTCACTACAAGCCGCACCTACAAAGTTTTTTTTTTTTTTAATCTGGAAACGTACACACACATACATATATCAGCCATGCACCTATAGGCCTGTCGCGATAAACGATAAATCAATTAATCGCACGATAAATTAAAACTATTGACCTCATTTCAATTATCGGCTATATCGTTTCTTCCTGCCCTTTTCTCTTACTGTTGATGACTCTGAATGAAAAAAGGCTCAACTCCAGTGCTCTCCACTGACCCTCCCTTCCTTATTTCCTTAGAGTAATGCCCAGTGTGCGCTGCACCATCTTAGGTCGCCGATTGTCAGCCCATTATCGAAACCTGAGAGACACATTAGCCGACAGAAGTCCTAGCTATAACGGTTCGATCGAACCGTGTTGTGTCCAACAATGGACACAAAATAATAAGTCCAGTTCACTAATTTTGAAACCAGGCATTAATCAATTCCTTACTACAATCTACCTGCAATGCATGTGGCTACTGTCAGTCTGACTGAATGAAAATCATTATAACCTATTTATGTCACGTTAACAAAGAACAGCTGAAAAGTTACCGGGTTTTCTGGTAGAAATCCTGTAGTTTGAACTATTGCATCAGGCAGTCGGATTCTTCTCTATTTAAATCTAATGATTACTGAAGGCCAATATACTATACAGACTTCATAATCTGCACTCTTTTGGTTGAATGCAGTGTTTATTTCCACTTTGGCTTTATGTTGTTTAGTTTTTATTCAAGTCCATTTATTGTTAATGGAGAGTGAGAATCTATTTTATTTTTGGTTTTGGTTGTTTTATTTATTTTGTGTATCAGTCCCAGTGATAAGTGTTCTTTTGAAAGTAAAGTGTATCTATCTTTGCAGGAAATCGCATGTATTATTACATAATTTCCATTAAATCAATGTAAAAAGGTCTTCAAACAATATTGTCATTTATCGCAATAATTTTTGAGACAATTTATCGCCCAGCAAAATCTGTTATCGTGACAGGCCTACGCACCTACCAAGGTTTTTTTTAAAAACTGGAAATGTACGTACATATATAAATATATATTATATAAAATGATAAAACACTCTTGGTGCAGCCACTTTATGAACTTTATTATTTTTGAAATTCAAATGAAAAACAAAATTCACATCACACCAAACTAATATTATGTAGTTCCGCTGTTTTATAATGTCGGCACAAACCTGCTGCTCAGATCTCTGACCAGCTTTGCTGGTTTTCTCATCTTTATTACTGTTAGTTCTTCAGAGAAACGAGCTGCTAGCAGAGCTGCTAACTTACGTTACAAAACATAACATTGTGTTCCTGTCGCTCCTCATGATTAAAGTCACAATTACAATCTTCTGTACTGAGCAGCTCTCTGATAGCAGACCACGTGTATTGTACTAAATATTGTACAATAACCGAAAAGAGAGATGTAACTTCTATCATAAATAAAGATTTGCAAAAAACCCTACAAATTATAGTGAAATACTGCTACTTCTAGTGGGTGCAGAAAGTAAGACCCATAATCCTTTCCACAATAAGCCTCCCAGGAATAAGGTAGATAGTCCAAAAAAATACAGTACTTCATTTCTAACTTACTGTCGAAGACATCTGCTCAAAGCTAAAAACTGTCAGCCAATCAGCTTGCTTCAAAACAACCTTCCTGTTAGCAGTATGCAAAGTGGAAACTAGCTCACCACCAAGCTGATGTCTATATCTTCACTCTTCAGGAAACAGCCAATCAGTACCAAGGAAAATGCACAGCCCTCCTGGATTGGCTGCGTTGCAAGCACCAGCCAATAGTGTGTCATGTACCGACACGATACACTTATAAAGCACTTCAGCTTTACAACTGCATTTATTTTTGAATTTTTCAGGTAATCTATGAAAAAAAAATCTGTGAATATGCACATTTTTCACTAATAACTTTGAATTACATTCCACAGAAAATGAACCAATAGGTGAATCTGACCTGTGAATAGGAATGGCTCAAATGTATCGTCTTATTTTGTGACATGAACATATAAATATGTTTTTATATTAGAGCTGCAAACTTTCAGGAAATGAATTCATTTGTGTACAACTGCTAAAACTTACATTTCTTACACATTTTATGACATTATTATTTCATTAATCATGACTTAATTCTCCAGAACCCTTGTAATTTCAATTTCTACAGAAATAGACCTGGTGAACATTAAGAGATATCCAAGTTCATTGTGAAGGCTAAATATGGTATGAATATGAAACATTAAACATGCACTGCACACCCCGACACTGTGATGAATGATTCCAGTCTGATGAATGGTTAGTTCTGTTTATATCCCAAATTATTAAAAACGTTACACTGAGAATCATTTTAAATGAGTTCAAAATGTCCTTTGAGTGTCACAGTGAAGTTTGTATTCCTACATTGGTGCAGGAAGTGGAGGCCCCTTGGTGGGGCCGGCAGCTCGGTTATTCCTTGGGCTCGGTCTGATGGTGACAGTCAGATAGGTGCTGCTGGTTTAAACAACGATCTCATGGTTTTAAGGTCGATTTACAGGAAACTGCAGTTTAAAAACAACTGACGTAGTGATGTGTTGATTCCCAGCACAAAAGTGAACCCAAATTTCATTTTTGACTTTGAAAGGGACACCATGCAGACTGAGAGTGTCAGTTATGATGGATCTGGAAAGAAATGCCTCTTAGTCAGACCTTCCTAAACCTTTACCTCTTGGCAGAAAAGACAAATTTGCCCTTTTGGAAATATTTTTTGGTAAACAAAAATCACAGGACAGAAATAACTCAGATGCCAAAGAACAGTGAAAAAAGTTGCCTGTGTTGTATATTTTCCACAAAAAATACACAAAATTCAGATTACATAATTTACACATTAAGCAGTACATAGTAAGCCCAACAGAATAAACCTTCATAGAGGCAAATAAGGTGATGAGCAAAGACATCTGAAATGACGTACACAACTGACGTTTATAAACAAAAATAAACTAAACAGTCAGACAGATTAATTTTATTTTTAGCCACAAATCAACCGTCAAAATCAGCTTAGAATGACAAATGTCATGGCAGAAAAAAACTTTATGAAAGAATCCATTTCATTTCCAGGTTCCATCTGTTACAAGTATTGTTTTTTGTTTCGTTAACAATAAGAATAATTGTTCTTAACCCTCGGAATTTCATAATATGATCCATACTTATTTAAAAAAGAAAATATTTGATGAGTCTCTATTTTCTGATTTAAGTGGCCATTTATTTATTGAGATTAGGTAAAGTGTGCTTCAGTTCTTACACTTTTTAAAATTATAATGAACGTTTTGTGAGCTTTAGAGAAATCTTAATCGTTCTGTGACAGTCCCTAACAATCCAGTGTCCTGACCAGGCAAAGAGGCTGGACATTAGAAATGTGACCGAACAAACTGCGATAAATCCCAACATGCTGCAGCAAAGAGGCGCAGACCGACCGAGGCTTTTGCGACACACGGACGGACCCAGAAAAGCGACTCGGTTTGAGGCGTTTATGTGGACAGCAGGCAGCGAGAAAGAACGCCTGTCTGTCAGCGCAGTAAGTCAGCTGTACGGCTCCTGCCAGCACATCAGAAAAGCGCTGAAACACAGCGGATATTTCACTGTGTGGATGAGAGCAGCCAGAAGAAAAAGTTCAGGTTCCACGGCTCTGCCTGCCTTCACTCGGTTCGCAAAAAAGCAGCCCGGAGGCTGAGGAGATTTAACAGAAATAAAATCAAACGGAATAAATATCCCGTGTTACCTGCGAGATGTCATAGCAGACTCTGAAAGTTGTCCAGTACCCCAGTGATCACGTCCTGCCGCTGCTGAGTCGATGAGCGGATTCGGAGCTCCGCAGAACCCCGGCGTCCAGCTGCAAATGATCACTGACACTGCTTCCGGTTAGCACCTGTCACAATAAAAGCACCAGAAAAGGTTGGCTCCAAGAAGCAAGGCCCAAGGTCAGTAAACTACATTTTTTCATCAGCAGTGTCAAATATATGTGTAAAATGCTTCTAAAACGATACCCCATAATTAAAAGAAAAATATTATATAATACAGTTCATTTGTTTGAGCTAATTCACAACAAATTTAATCTTGAGGCACTTTACAAGGTTATTTAAAGTTAATCACATGTGCATTCCAATTGATTCTTGTTACTAACGAGTGTGTTAAGTTATTCAAAGTAGGTTAAAAAGTTTTCAATGCAAGGAACCCCAGCAGATCGCATCCAGTCAATGTGTTCACTCTGAAAACAAACTCCAGTATCAGCAGCGACAGGGCAAAAAGCTGTGACTCAATGAAAGTACACTCCGTCATATTCAGCTCAAACCACATATTGAAACCAATAAAATAACACACAGTCCTTCATTTTCTTCAATCAAATCAGATTGAACATTTCCTGTTGGCATTCAAGGACAAGCACATTGTCATGGAAACATCTGAAATCAGATTGAAAGCTTCATAACAGCGATTTACTTACGCTTTAAGATTTTTGTTTCTTTTTTGTCTGTCAGGATTTTAATTGTTGATTCTGTGTACTTTGTTAATCCTTGCTGAACTAAAACTATGCGGAATGGAAATTGTTTATTTGTAATGAGCATGTAAGGATGGTCAGAGGAAACATGTAAGGATGGTCAGAGGAAACATGTAAGGATGGTCAGAGGAAACATGTAAGGACGGTCAGAGGAAGCATGTAAGGATGGTCAGAGGAAACATGTAAGGATGGTCAGAGGAAGCATGTAAGGACGGTCAGAGGAAGCATGTAAGGATGGTCAGAGGAAACATGTAAGGATGGTCAGAGGAAACATGTAAGGATGGTCAGAGGAAGCATGTAAGGACGGTCAGAGGAAGCATGTAAGGACGGTCAGATGAAGCATGTAAGGATGGTCAGAGGAAACATGTAAGGATGGTCAGAGGAAACATGTAAGGACGGTCAGAGGAAGCATGTAAGGACGGTCAGAGGAAGCATGTAAGGACGGTCAGATGAAGCATGTAAGGATGGTCAGAGGAAACATGTAAGGATGGTCAGAGGAAACATGTAAGGATGGTCAGAGGAAGCATGTAAGGACGGTCAGAGGAAGCATGTAAGGACGGTCAGAGGAAGCATGTAAGGACGGTCAGATGAAGCATGTAAGGATGGTCAGAGGAAACATGTAAGGATGGTCAGAGGAAACATGTAAGGATGGTCAGAGGAAACATGTAAGGACGGTCAGAGGAAGCATGTAAGGACGGTCAGAGGAAGCATGTAAGGACGGTCAGATGAAGCATGTAAGGATGGTCAGAGGAAACATGTAAGGATGGTCAGAGGAAGCATGTAAGGACGGTCAGAGGAAGCATGTAAGGACGGTCAGATGAAGCATGTAAGGATGGTCAGAGGAAACATGTAAGGACGGTCAGAGGAAACATGTAAGGACGGTCAGATGAAGCATGTAAGGACGGTCAGAGGAAGCATGTAAGGACGGTCAGAGGAAGCATGTAAGGACGGTCAGATGAAGCATGTAAGGATGGTCAGAGGAAACATGTAAGGATGGTCAGAGGAAACATGTAAGGATGGTCAGAGGAAACATGTAAGGACGGTCAGAGGAAGCATGTAAGGACGGTCAGAGGAAGCATGTAAGGACGGTCAGATGAAGCATGTAAGGATGGTCAGAGGAAACATGTAAGGATGGTCAGAGGAAGCATGTAAGGACGGTCAGAGGAAGCATGTAAGGACGGTCAGATGAAGCATGTAAGGATGGTCAGAGGAAACATGTAAGGACGGTCAGAGGAAACATGTAAGGACGGTCAGAGGAAGCATGTAAGGACGGTCAGAGGAAGCATGTAAGGACGGTCAGATGAAGCATGTAAGGACGGTCAGAGGAAGCATGTAAGGACGGTCAGATGAAGCATGTAAGGATGGTCAGAGGAAACATGTAAGGATGGTCAGAGGAAGCATGTAAGGACGGTCAGATGAAGCATGTAAGGACGGTCAGAGGAAGCATGTAAGGACGGTCAGAGGAAGCATGTAAGGACGGTCAGAGGAAGCATGTAAGGACGGTCAGAGGAAGCATGTAAGGACGGTCAGAGGAAGCATGTAAGGACGGTCAGAGGAAGCATGTAAGGACGGTCAGAGGAAGCATGTAAGGACGGTCAGAGGAAGCATGTAAGGACGGTCAGATGAAGCATGTAAGGACGGTCAGAGGAAGCATGTAAGGACGGTCAGAGGAAGCATGTAAGGATGGTCAGATGAAGCATGTAAGGATGGTCAGAGGAAACATGTAAGGACGGTCAGAGGAAGCATGTAAGGACGGTCAGAGGAAGCATGTAAGGACGGTCAGAGGAAGCATGTAAGGACGGTCAGAGGAAACATGTAAGGATGGTCAGAGGAAGCATGTAAGGATGGTCAGAGGAAGCATGTAAGGACGGTCAGAGGAAGCATGTAAGGACGGTCAGAGGAAGCATGTAAGGACGGTCAGAGGAAGTTTGCAGATAACTTTTACATTTTGTTTGGTAGCAGCAGGAGGGACTGGTCCCCTTCACATAGCCGATGGCAAAATGAGGAAGAAAATTGGTGTGGAAATATCGAAGGAAATCTCAGGACATCAACCAGAAGGTAAAGATTAGATCACAACAGCAAGTAAAGTACAAAGTGGCTTAAGAACAATTAGGTTGGTCAAAGTTGAGTGAAAAGGCCTGAACTGAAAACAATACAGTCATTTCCAATGAACTGAAAAGCTGTGCAAGCAGAATGATACAAACCTTACCCAATTCTCCCAGTTCTGTCTGGATGAATAGGCCCAGTTCGCCCAGTTTCACATGTCCAGATATCTGAAGCCTGATGGGATTCATGTTGGATTCTGGGCTTCAGCAAAGCTTCACACTCCATAACACTGCCAACTCCATGCATCATAGCTGGTGGGAGGTTCTGTTCCTGAAACAATTTATCCCACACATGCTGAGGTGCTAAAACAAATTCATTTTAGACTCATCTGTTCAAAGACATTATTCCAGAAGTCCTGCATGGTTTCTGATTATGCTCTCTGTCTAACTTTAGTCTGGCCTTCAAACCTGGACAATCTCAGATAATATGCATTTTCATACGAACACCAACAACAACATGCTGCAGGTCCTGTCATAGTTCTGGGTTTCTTAAGATTTATTTTGACAACCTGTTTGGGGAAACCTGATCGGATGGCCCGAGGGCTGAGTGGTTTTGAATGTCCTTAAAGGTGGGACGAAGTACAAGCAGGTGTTTTGTGCAGCTGAATGAAGATGAAATAATTTTTCAGCTAATGAGGATAAACATGAGTGAAAGAATCAAGGCAACATCCCAGATATGTTTTTGATTATAACATAATGTAAAGCTCAAAACATTGATTTTACATAATTCTACACCTTTAACAATTTTAAATGAGAGTGAATCTCGGGTGTGCTGATTTATCAGAAATACATTTTTTACTTCAGTTAAGAGAAAACTCGAAATATTTTCAGTTTTGTTGTTTATAATTTCTCAGGATTGTTAAATTTGACATTGTCCATCTTTGTGTCTAAATTTGGCAGATTGTAGGTGTGATATTGTTTATTTTCATTCATTACATGGCTGCATGTATTCAGACCAACCTTTTAGCGAGTGAGGATATGCACCTTCAATCATTACCTCAGGCCCAAAAATAGATCTTGTAAATATTGGAAGTTGTTTATCTGATGTCTAGTTATAGGAGGCATTAGGTAAATGTGGGTTATAAATATATTTAAAAAGAGCAGAGGCGGGCCGAGTCATTCCTCTGACATCACATTCCCTGAGTTGCTCCTGGATGATCAATATGAAAGCTGCTCCACTGTGGAACCAATTAGGCTAACTGTGATTTGTTGTGATCAGCTTTCGAGATGAGGGGAGAGTTTGGAGTTGAGCTGCTGCTTCGACGTTTGAAAGGAGTCAGAATGAACAAGAAAAGGAGGGATGGCAAAATGTTAGTCAGAATGAACTAAGAATAACTCTAAAAAAGCTTCATCTTGAAATTATGCCACAACATTTTACTAAAGGGGACCTGCTATGCTTCCTTTTAAATAAATTAGAATAGATTTATTGGCTATATGAAAAATGTTCTTTACATTTTTTCAAATCCTTTAAATTAGATTTCAGCTGCTCTCTGGTATATTTTGAGCTCTTTTCAGAATGAACTGTCACTTTCATGCAAATTAACTGCTGTTGGCCTTTTTGCTGTTTCTACTCATACTTCCTCATTTCTGGCATTTTAAACGTGAAAATAACAGCAAAGAGACGGGCAAATGTCAACAGCTAAACCTTTTTCTTTCCCAGCAGCCATTGTAAAACCAGCAGATTAATAAAGGGTGCAGTTCCGCTTTGGTTGCTGGGGTAACAAGGCAGTGTTCACCGACAGTGATGTTAAAACCAGAATATTTTTGAAACAGCTCATTTTCCAGATACCAAAAAACAGTAAAGCTACAGTATGTAACTGTAAAAAAATGTTTTTTAACATCCAGGTCAAAGTTATCATTATGTTGCGACTATATAAGGTGGAGGGAGGACGGTTTTAACATTGTCAATCGCTCTCATGCTCATCTCTCTCTACCACTACAACATAGCAGGTCACTCAACCCTTGTGTGCGTCAGCCTGAAGTGATCCAGTTGATGCCGACTCAAGGTCTGAGTGGACCCCACCAAAGTGGAAATGAAACAGAAGCTCGCACATCGCAAGCAGCGAAAAAAATCAACTACATGTTTTGAAACTTTTTATGGGTTGATGAAACAGAGGTCAGCCAAATGAGCATGTCTGACCAATGTTCATTTTTTACACAGAAACTTCAAGTTGTTTCTACTCATATAAATATTTTTTGATATACTTTAAACTAATTGAAAAAAAAACATGAGAAAAATACATTATTTATAAAATAGTT